GAGCCGATGGGCGCCGTAGCTGGAGGATGGAGCCGATGGGGCGCCGTAGCTGGAGGATGGAGCCGATGGGGCACCGTAACTGGAGGATGGAGCGCCATAGCTGGAGGATGGGGCGCCGTGAGAGGAGGATGGAGCCGATGGGGCGCCGTAGGAGAAGGATGGGGCGCCGTAGGAGGAGGATGGGGGTTGTGGCGGCGGTGGAGCACCGTAGGAATCAGAGGGTACGTTGTAAGTGGATCCAATTACGGGAACCCCGTAAGAGGTTGCTGGCGGAGCGTATTGACTCGGGGGTGGCTTAGCGGCGCTCTGAAATTCGTTCGTGTGTTATTGCGCATTAATCGAGATCGAATCGCAGGTTTACTCACTCTTTCTTTATCCTTATCGGGTCTCCAAAAGCGGACACGAAAAGGAGGGTACACAGGAATAACTGTAACGAGATTATTTCATTGATTAGAAATATTAGTCGAGGAATGCGAAGACGGATGCTTCTCGCCGGAAGGAGAGGCACGCATGCGTGTGTGCAAATGAGGCGATCATGAGGCGTGGCTGGACGACTGGCTATGATTAGCAGGTAGCTACTGTGTAATTGCACGTAACACTTTCAATACTATCGATTCAATCTCTCGTATTGTGAGTGAAATAGGCACCACGTACGCGAGCATTATACTTGTAATTACCGGCTGATTTCAATCTATATTCCGCTCGACCTTCACGGTTTTTATCCCCACTCGATCATGCGAGAGTTCGAGTAACCTTATTCCCTCTTGTTTTCCCTCTTATTTCTCTACAATCTCTCTCTTCGAAGAACGAACTTGAATGTGAAAAAAGAATTTAAGCACACTCGTGAATTATAAAAATTCGTGCGGAAGATTTCAAGCGCAATCGCGTTCATCTTGATAGATTTAATGAGATACGTTTCTTGATCCAATTTCTCTCTTGTTACACGGGGCTTATTTCCATCTATGATGGAAATCTTCGCACGAGGTGATTCAGCTTTTTAAAAATCGTATTTTCTCAATTCGAATTTATAATTAGTTCGATTTCACAATCGAATCTTTTTCTTGGAAAATTCGTTATCGCATTGTCTTTTCAAGAATTTTAAAAAAATTAATTCGAATAAAAGTTAAGAATTAAAGTTAAAATCGGGCTAACTTTACGAGCCGCTTCTCTTTCCAAGATCGATCTATCGAAAATCGATAAGAGAGAGAGAGAGAGAAGGAATGGCGACAAGAAGATCGATTTACCAATAACTTATTCTGGAAACAACAAAAAAAAAAAGAAGTCACGAATAATAATGATATAATAACATATCTTATCGATTATTTTACGACGAGCAACACGTCGAATCATTTTCTTGAAAAATTTGTTTGTTAAAAATCAAGTATTTAAAATTAAAATCACGAGCCGCTTCTCTTTCCAAGATCGATCTATCGAAAATACGATAAGAGAGAGAGAGAGAGAAGGAATGGCGACAAGAAGATCGATTTACAAGTTTAACTTGATGTTCCGGAAACGTCAAAAAAAAGAAGTCACAAATAATAATAATAATAATAATAATAATATATCTTGTCGGTTATTTTATGTCTCTCAAAAAAATAGAAAGTGTCCGCGTGCGAACCAACGAACCGAGTGTAAACAGGACTGAGAATGGGGTCAACGGTGGCCCCCTTTTCCTTCTCTCTCTCTCTCTCTCTCTCCGTCTCTCGTGTTTTTTTTCCCCCTTTTCCGTCATCAACGTAGAAATTGGAGGTCGATCGTGAAACTCGTGGCCTCAGAAGAACGGAGGGGAAAGTGTGCTTCTTCCCAATTTCGCCTCCCACCCTCCCCCCCCCTCCCTCTCCAATATAAATTCTCTCATTTTTCGTCCCTCATTTCCGACCGCCATTTCGGAGAACCGGTTTGCCATTGCATCGCGAGTTCCTGTTACGTCGATTACCGCCGCCGTTTGTCAAGATCAAGGGGTAATAAACCCGTCGATCTTCCAAGTTGGAAGTGGAAAATTTCGAAAAATTGAGTATAATAATCTTGAACGAGAATCGCCATCGACCGATTTGAATGCAGAAATTTGAATGCAATTTTACGCAGTGGATAAAATAAAAATTTGAACGGATCGATGAGTGGAGCGAGCCTGATTTCCATCCGGAACGATCTAAATTCACGAAAGTATTAGGAACCAATAGAAAGTTGTTGAAGAAAAACATGGCATTCAAGTTGGAAAGGAAAAAGTGTGACACGTCCTCGAGGTCTTCGCGTTATTCATACCGTTATTCATATGCGGAATGAATGGCCGAGCGAATCGAAGAAGCCACGCCAAATATTTACAAATTTCAGGCGGATCGATATTTGAAGGATTCGAGAGATGTATTGTTCGTGATTTTTCTTCTTTTTTTCCGGGGGGTTACGTTTCCGTGAACTTGGCTGGGAACGAGAGGAAAGTGAACGAGTTTCGTTCGCATCTCGTTTCACGAGAGATGATCATTCGAGGCACGAGTACACCGTTCAACTTTCCATTCTGAATATCTCCTAGAAAATAGCTCTGAATTCAGTGACTCGAACGAGCCTCGACTCTCCGCTCGTCACGTCGAACGATCGACGAGGGTTAATTCGATGTCTCGAATATCGTTGCATCGACGCACACTTTAAAAATTCTAGCTGATATCTTGAGAAAATTAACACGTTGATCTATTTATATATATATATATATAGCTCCATTTTTAAAATCTCTAGCTGATTGCCATTTTTCCATCCTCTATCTCGTTGCATTCTAATTTTACAACTTCGATAACATTTAACTTTGGACAACTTCGTGTTTTATCACGAAGCAATATATTTTAAGTACTTTCACTTCCTTTTTCCTTTTTTAAAACCACAATCCCACAACAACAGCATTCAGCTATAGACTCTTATCCTTTTTTACACGAGGCTTTCGAAACCAATGCCAAACCGAAACGAAAGGGTTTCGAGTCCGCGAGAGATTCCACTAACTCCTTCGATCACTTTCCCCTCCCCCACGAGTTCGTTGATGATAAAAAGAAGATCACAGCTTTTGTTCCCTTTTTTTTCTTCTTCTTCTTCTTCACAGTCGTACACACTCGATTTACTCGATTTACACGTATCGACGTCACGTACGATTATCACGCGTAAGATGGCGATGATGTTTAAGGAGAAAAAAAGAAAAGAAGAAAAGAATGGACACTGACCAGGCTGAACCGCATTTTCTCAAATTGAAGGGGTGTCGTTCACGTGGAGAGAAAAAAAAAAAGAAGAAGAAAAAGAAGAGTAAACGGCAAAGGCTGCCGCCTTATATATATATATATATACGTATATATATATATATATATTCTTTTTCAACTTTTTCACTTTATTTTTATAATAATGTTACGGTTCGTCACTCCTCTGACAAATTTCTCGTGTCTACCGTGCCTTTTATAGCGAACGTTCCCTCCGCCTAGGCGGCTAGTCGCCCCTAGAACACAGAGAGAGACACACATTTCGAGGAGGGGTATACCCGTTGTTAGTTACGTTCTCGACGGCCATACGATGGCTCACATCTTGAACTTACCTGTGGAGAGGGGGGAGAGATCGTAACGGGCGTTATGATCGGCCGTCGACGAAGGTAAAAGGGGCATTTGGCAGCTCATCGCACGCGGTGAATTTTTCTCCTTTTTTTCCTCCTTCTTCTTTTGAAAGAGGCGGGAGTTAGAACACCACCACAACAGCGAAGTTGGTCGTAAACGATGGAGGAGATGTTGGTAATAATGGAAAGTGTTACGATTCGATAGGAATTATTAATCATCCTGTTAAATATTTAATCCCCTCTTTGATTCGATTTGATTCAAGCGATGATTTATCTTATAGAAAAGAAAAAGGAATTTCGTAGAAGTAGTTTGGAAGGGGGGGTTTAGAAATTCGGATTGGACGGGAAATGTAAATTAAGGAAGTGACGCGAGGGCGAGAAAAAGAATGTCGAATGTAGACGAAGAGAAACGAGAGAGAGAGAGAGAGAGAGAGAGCGAGAAATTTCGAGGAGGCAAGGACGTAAACTTTGACCTATAATATTATTTTTCGCGGGAAGGGAACACGTGTAATCATCTCGATTCTTTCCCCATCAGGCGGAGGATCGTCCTGCGCGTGCGCGAATCGAGGAAGCGATACCGCGAAGGGAGGTGGCCAAATGTTACGTTAGGATTAATTAACGCGTTTTACAACTCGCCAACGAGTGCCGCGATAAACCCCGAATGCTGGTATTCAATCGCAAACAGGAAAGAGGAACGTGAGCGCGTACGTACGTACACTGCATTTGTTTACTTTCACCGGGTTTAGAACAGTTAAAACGTTTTATGCAATCGTGTATACGTGCATACACGTTGAATATATCTTCGATTCGCGTGTAATCCCGGGAAAGCGGTGTTCCACGTTACAAAACGACTCCCACTCGTCCCATTTTCCCAATGTCATAACTTTCATCGATACCCTCCGATCGAATACCCTCCTCGATTCGAAGCAAAACATCTTGGCCTAGATGGAGCAAATTATGCAATCGCGTAATTGATCGAGGCTAATCTACTTTGTTAAATATAATTATCCAATCTCAAAGATAAAAATTCCAAAAGCTCGATCGAACTGTTTTAACGCCAATTCTTATTATCCATCGTTTGTATTACGTTTTTATTATTATTATCAATCTTTTTGTTTTGTAAAGGGAAAAATCTGTATGACGAATATGTTATTTCGTTATCGAATCCAGAAATAGGGACGAATCACGAAGGTTACGAAATTGACCGTTGAAAGATTAGATCGAATGTGAGAGTTGGCAGCAATTCTCTTAGTAATCGGTCGTGCTCCGTATAAAATATTAATGACCCCCAGGAGGAAGATCGGGAAAGCTCGGGTTGCGTACCGCGGAAACTCGATAATCGCAGTGAAACCGCACTTCGAACAGAAGAAGAAAGGAGGATGGGCAGTGGTATCACGGAGAAGGAATGTAGAGTGTTACTAACAGATCTTTGACCTTCCTCGCTTTCCAATTTTATTTTCAATCTTGATTCCCTCTTTCTTTTTTTTTTTTTTTTTTTTTTTTTTAAGATTATTTTTTAGTACTTCGACTCCTCGTACTTCGTTTCATTCCTATTTCG